TTTCACAACTGCTATATTGATCTTCGCAAGTCCTAACTGCTAATACCAGGACTGATGAAAAACATTTAAATTCAGCATGGATCCCTACTGAAATCTGTTTGTTTTTTTTTTTTTATAAGCAAATACACATTTAGTGAAAGATTAGAGTTGTTGAATTTTTAAATCTTCTGTAAAGGTATTGAATTATCAGTTCTGCTTGTATTCTGATACATGGTTCAAATGCCAGTCACAATAGTGAACCAGAATGATTTCTTCAGAGTGATTTTCTGCATCAAACTCTGAACTACTACTGCTGAAGTAATTTTTTAAAATTTTTATCAGAAAGAAACTAAACTGTCTTCTTCCTGTCCTCCCTTCTTGGGGGTTCAGTAGGTGGATCTGTAGTTCAGTAAGAGCTCCAGTCTTCTCTAAAAGACTTTGGCATAGTATTTTTGGCTTTAAGATGGAAGTATGTGACTGAAAAGTTCTTGGAAGTAGCTGTAGCTGTCAGTTTTACTGTGGGCTATGTAACTAACATATTTCCTGCTTCCAGTGACACCATTCTTTCTAGGGACAGCAGGTTTATTTACAGTGCCTAACATAGTGTAAATTTTAGAAAAGTATATATTTTTATAATGATATTTTACTATGTGTAGCCTGCCTGAAGGATTTAATACTTGTATTTCCAAAGTATATGGCTTTCTTAGGAAGCCAAACTTTTAAACATCTCTCTAATGTCCTTTTTTTATTATTCATGTATTAACAAACATTTCACTGGCAAAAGCTGATCAACAGTATCTTTGTGTCTGTATTGATTGTCCAGTCATGCTTCTAGCTTTTAATCTGTGAAGCATTTCACAGACAATGCTGTACTTCTCACGTGTCCTTCAGTTCAGCTTTCATAGTTCTTTTTCTGGCCAGTGATTGAGACACAACAGGAAAAGGAAGCTTGTCTAAGGATGGCTGATTTCCTTACAGTAGCAGAGAACAGTCTGCTATTACTCATCTGAAAAACCTGAAAGCAAAATCACTGTAAGTGCACAGTGATTTTTTTTTTTTTAAGCTTTGATATACAACAAGGAAACAATAGCCGTAGATCACTGAGGGGAGAGCAAGAGGCATTTCTTCTGTAGAGCCTTGAATTTGAGGTCTGTATTAGTTATTTGTTGAATCTAGTCCATTAGGAGCAGCCAAAAACTTGCTGCTGTTACTGCTACTTTGCAAGCAACAGTGTCCAGCAACCTTTGCTTCAAACTCTGGTGCTTGAAACTTTACAACATCTCATCAGCCAACTTATTCTGTTAAGGTTTTGTGTAATAATCTGGTGTATGTAAAATTGGAGAAGGATGATTTCTATTTGTAACTTTTTATTCGTAAAACATTGCATTGAAAATTGTATCTAGAGAGTATGTTTCCCTTTGCCACTTTTTGACACAGAAAGCTCCTAATGCTGTGAAGTAATTTCAGCAGTTAGTGAAAATCATCATGGCGTTAAAGATATCTGTGGAGTTCATGCACTGAAGTTAACTGCCAACAAGAGCCAGGGTCACAAATCAGGATACCAGCATCTGCAAATCTTGCCAAGTTGCCTGAAGACAAATGAATACTTGGTTTCTTTTTGAAGAACTGTTTGTATGCAAAACAGAATTTAATTGAAGTGTTGTCTTTCCACAGTTTGTTCTTATTGGCTTTGGCCATATTAACACCAGCTTTGTATCAATGCTCCAGTTATTTGGCACTGAATTCAGGAGAGCAAGTTCAACCTATTTGAGGACTTTTAAATTCACAGAGTGATTTGTTTTTACTGTGGGTAAATTTCTCTGTGCTTATTCAGTATCACTTTTAAAACCCTGGGGGTCTAGGCTGGCTTACCTCTAGAAATTCTGAAGTGCACCCCCATTGGTGGTACACATGGCTCGTATAATTTCAGACTTGGAATGGGAATACTTTCTTGCCACTTTCTACTTAGTTATATTTAGCACCTTCTCTGTGGACCTGCAGTGACTTCATGGCTACAGATTTAGGTTATATTTTTAAAAAGTCTTGTCAGCAAAAGCAGTTGGGTGTGAGCCTGCCTCTAAAGCCTTGAAGGAGAAGCAATTCAATGATCTTGCAAAGAGAGGTTTGATAAATTGTTGATGTTGAGATTTCAGTGGTTGCATTTGGAACAACTCCACAAACACTACAATGGAAACACGTTTTTTAATGAAGATGTCAAATATGAGATCAGACTTGAATAACTAGACTGAGAGAAGGAAACTTTTCAGTGTGATCAGTTTTATTTCTCAGAAATGAGCACAATTTATTTCTGTGAAGCAATGTATTTATTTGTCAGTACATTTGACAGTGCAGCTGCCATTTGTTTCTGTTAATAAAGCTGCATTTGGACATGGTTTCCCTGTACGTGAAGAGGAGGATGAAAATAAGCCCTGAAAAAAGTGCAGTGACCAAAGGAGCTTCGGTCGCCTCCTGAAAACCTGAATATTTCTTCCCAAGGGGACTTTAGTTTTGGTGACCCTCATACAGTGCCATGCGGATAGACTCATACCTCCAGTCCATTGAGGTTGATGTGGCAATTGGCTTATATGTAGAATTGCTATATCTTTTGTCTCCCCATTCCATCTTTTCCTCGTCCTTCCCCCTACTGGCATGGATTATCATACAGCTTGAATGTTGTTTAGCCAGTGGAAAGGGAGGTTCTGTCTATTCTTCTGAGATGGCTTTTCTGAGTGACTTTCAGTATATTTTTTTCTCAAGCCTTAAATTTGATTAAATAAAATTTAATGTTTTTTACTCCTGGAGTTTGATTTCTAGGATTTGTTGCTTCTAGTCACTAGTATTTCCCCCTCTAAGGTTTAGACTGGCTACTGAGACTGTGATTTGTGGATAACTACAGAAACGGTAAAGGTCTGCTGGTGTTCATGTGTATATTTTGCTGAAACTAATTCTTGATTTTTTTTTTTTTCAGTCTGGGCTGCTGAATAATATATAACACTAGTGATTTTTCTCTCAATTTTTAATGGAAAGCCATGAACAAGTGAAGAGCTGCAGAATGGTGTAGAGACATTATTAAATTTCTGGACACCCAAAAAGTTAAAACTGCTATTTGCACTTCCAACTGCCATTATCCACAGTTATTGCTCTTGTGATGTCACACAGTCTGTGGTTTGTCATTTCTGAGCAATGTTCCTGAAACTACTCTTAAGTGTGCAGAAGAGAAGTAACTTCCAGGTTTGAAGATGAGGCTTATAGAAATACAGTTGTGTCTGCTTCTTTGGCTGTTTTTAATGTTTCTTTAATGCATTAAAATCTGATTTTAGTTTTAATAAGGTCAGAGAAACATTTAACAGATAGATAATGGCTATGTTAGAATAATGCGATATCTGGAATTTGATACTCTGGAATGTTGAGGCTGGATCGTTTCTGGTAAGAATGACTTAACTTGAATGTGGCTATTTGGTGTGTTCATATAGAACTTGTAATAGATCCTGATATATATCATACTAATGCCTGGTTTAGGCACAACCCCAGATCTTATCCTGAAGTTGAGATTGTCTGAAGCTATTTCTCATTTTGACATTGGAATTGTGGAGGATGCCCGTATCACTGTGTGCTTTAAGCTAGAAGAAACTGCATGTGGTTCAGCTCTTGTTTTGATTTTCTCCCACTATATGGTCAAAACCTGCTTGTGTTACCAAGTGACTTCTCTGGGGTGGTTTTATGAAATTCCCTTTCTCAAGAGTACTCCTGAAAGTGATATTTGGTGGCGAATGTAGTGGGCTAAACAGTATTAACAAGTTTTGCAAGTGGGAAAGCTTTTGCAGGAACAAAGTTGTAATGTTTGTTTGCAGACATAAGCCAGTTATACTCAAATTGTTTGAGAACAGCAGGGCTTGTTGACTTTTAAATATTCCCTGCTTTATAACAATTTTTTAAAGGTCACTACCTTTCTGGTTTTTTCTCAATAACTTCTACTGCTGGCTGAAAAAAGTCATTTTTCCCTAGCGCTTCAGTATCTACCACTACAGGGTTTTGAATTTGATCTCCTAGGTCTTGGCAATGTGACTCTGCAACATACTTGGAACTGCTTCAAAAAGTTTCCATAAGAGCAAGTTGCGCAATAGGTCCTGTTCTTACCTTTTTTATCAAGGGGCCATTTTTAAATATGAAAGGTTTCTGTAGAAATTTTCAGAGACACTTGTTTTACTGCAATTTTTCATTATCCTAAGGTTAAACCCAGGTTCTGTTACTGGAGATAACTTCATGAAATGCCAGCTGCGTCCAGATCTTCACACATGCTCACTTGTAATTTCTAACTAGCTTTAATTTATATCTTGTCCAGGCACTGTATGGACATTGACTGCAGTTTCTTAGCTGCAACTCTGAAATCAGGACAAGACCATGACCTCGGATACTTAGGAATATAGCTTGTGACCCTAGCAGGTAAAAACTCCCAAGATGAGCTTTAAAATTAGAAATTGAAGTGGGAGCTGGTTTAAAGGTACAGTTTTGCGGTGGTTTTAACATGTTCAGTTAACAGCTGGTCTCCCAAGTTGATTCACATTGTGCAGAGGTTGAATTGGTGCCAGTTAGCCCTTTGCATTGTTTAAGCTACCGCTCTATCTAATCAAAAACCCCATTGTTTCAGGTTGCATGATATAAGCTTGAGATTGTTTGTAATGATTTTAAAGTCCAATTGATATAAGTAAACGTTGTAAGTGATATCCTGGTTTGACAAAACCAAGCAGCTTAAAAATGTATTACAGAAGTGGTAATTGCCGGATGCTTCTCATGTGATGTTTCTCTAAGACGGCTTGTTTGACAGGCCTTATTCCTACTGCTGTGTGTTAGTAGCTCAGTGAAGAACAGCAGTGATGCAAGTGTCTGTAGGCCAAATCAGATGAGCAAAGGTGTATTTTTTTTTTCTTTTTTTTTTTTTATGTATAGCTTTAAAAGCAGGAGCTGTACCTGGGCTTTAGTAGTGTTGATTATGCAGCAGCATGACAAATGCAAGGTAGGGTTGGCAAAGCTGGTGTTTTATTGCATTTGCCTCGGCAGCAGTGCAGGGTTGCTGGGGGAAGAAGGGAGGCTAGTGGGGTGTCTCTCCTCTCAAAACCTGTAATGTTGTGACAGCTTCCTTGACCACATTTGCGTTGCTGTGACTGCAGAGTTGTTCGAGGGTTTCTTTAATCTTGTCCTCTTCTATTTCTTGTCTCAGATCACCTGAATGGGAGATGAAATGCTGACTTTTAGTGACATGCCATAGCATAGTGGCTCCCAACAGTTGTTGTAAGATAAAAGTTTTGGAGTACTGTTTAAAATGAGCTGCTTCAATTTAAATAAATATCTCTCGGTAGATACCCTTTCAGCCATTGAAAGTATTGAACAGGTTGAGATTTTTTTTCTCGTTTGACTTCCAAGAACTGACTGAACAGAAGAAAATCACTTTGAAAATGTAATACAGGACAAGTTCCAGCATTTTTTTGTATGTATGCTTTCTGTTAGCCTTTCATATTAGTAAGACTCAACTCTCAGTGTTACAGTTAGTCTATAATGTGCTAAGTGTGTACACCTCTGGAAGAAAGTCTTGTAGATAACATCTGTTGTGTCAATACTCTGTAGTAGCACTGAACGATGAAAATGCTTATCCCTGTTCCAAAATCTGTGTGGCTACAGGGAAAAAATACAGTATACTGCAAAATGCAGCTTGTTTTGCCAGTGTACGGTGCCTCCAAGATTTGGAAGGCGGCTCCCCTTGTGGCAGACCCTTGCCCGAGCACGGTCATTATTTTCAATTTACATGATTTATGTATTAAGATGTGAGAAACTGGCACAAGATCTTTGGACTCCTGTTTTCAAGGTGGTGGTTTTCCGTTAGTGCCACGCATCCAGGATGAGTCTGATCTTGCTGGAAGCATTTTAAGTATTCCATGGAGTGAGAGAAACGGAAATCATATCCTTCATATGTTTTAGTAGAAGTTGTACAAAGGAAGCATTGCTAAAATTGCTGTTTTATCTCAGCTTCTGGTTTGCTTACAACTTAGGCAGAACAAATATATGCCTGCCTGTGGAAGATGGTACAGACTCTTTATTTCTTTGAACACAAAAATGCTGTGGTACATACAGGACCTGGGACTGCCAGACATTTGTGCAAGGTGAATTTGGACAAAGATGCCTTTATTCCAAGGCTCTTAATTTTGCTATTTCAGGACTTGATTATGCCACTGACTCACTAGAATAAAGCCTTTCTTTTTTTAATCAACTGATGTTCTTTTTTTAAATTAACTGATGTTTTAATCAACTTTTCATAAAGAAAGAAGCTACTTGACTGCGATTTTTGGTGATCAATAAAGAATGAACCTCTTTAATATCCTTTGCTACTCACTGACTGCAACATCGCAAACAGCACATTTCAGTAACAGAAGACACTTTTGTTTTCATCACAAATATGCATCCCTTCATCACAAACAACTCAAAATGAAGTTACCTGAATTAAGAAGACTGCACAAAAGCCCCATTGAATTGTATTTCACCTCAGGACTTGTATTATCATCTTGTAGAAGTTTGTGTAAGGTTTGAACTAGCTGGGATTCCTTAAAAGATTCTTCAAGGGTTTCTGAAAAATAAATAGACAAATACCTGAGCTGTTGTCAGAAAAGAAGCTAGAAAGTGAACATTCTTGCTTTTTAAAAATAAAATTCCTGACTGGCTTCATTTCACATTGGCTATACAGGGATGTCTTTTGGCATCTGTTTTCTGTATTATTTGGCATCTGGAGAATTTCTGTATTTTCTGTACTGTGTTTCTTCACTGGCCTCATTCTTGAAGACAGAACCTGTATGCTATAGATTGTATAAAATAACCTCATAATAGATTAAAATTTGCAATGATCAGTGCTAGAAATGTTGATTCACGTTAGTTGCCCAATTGAATTTGAGATCCTTAATGGTGGACCAAGCAGTAAAATGGGCTCTTTACTGTCTTGCTTCTTGGTATAAGAAATTCCAAATCTCAAGTTGACTCTTTCTTTTCAATTTAGCTTTTGATGTATGTAGGTTTCTGTGGTGACTGTCTTTATTGTAATAAACTTAGATCCATTTTCAAATGTGATCAGTCATATAGGAAAAAAATTATACTTAATCTCTCTGAAAATTAGCTCAGTAGAAGTAGTTAGAACCTTTATAGTTTTCTCACTTGTTTAATTTGCAGATTCTGTAAGGCCCTTTTGTCTATGCTTCTGCTTTACTCTCTCCTGCGTTCAAATGTCTGTCTGAAGATTATTTCCTCCATTTATATTCTCCATTGACCATTGAAGTCCATAATTTTTCCTTAATTTTGTCTTCATTTACACTTTGTCATCTTTTTCTCTAGTTTTCATCACCTTTACTGTCTTTCTGGTTTTTTTCATGTTGGTTTCTAGCATCATACCATGCTACTCAACAGATTGTGCCCCTCCACACAACCTGATCATTTGACTCTACCCGACACAAACAAACAAAATCATCAGGCAGCTCCTGAAGCCTGTTGCTTTTGTGATCTTCTAGATGGCTGACCTTTATTTCATGCTGAAGACCTAAATCTAGACAAGAAGCATGCTTTTTCTTACATATTATGTAGAATTAACAGCATGAAAATGTTTCTTAATAATTGAGGATCTTGCACAGATAAATGCTTTTAGGACAAATACCTAAATCGATTGCAGATGCTATTGCCAAGGCATTCAGAGCCTCATTTTGCATGGCAGCATGTTCGCTTGTTGTCATGGAAACCAGATGCTTCACTCCTTGTGCCTCCTGGATGGCTTTGACCACTTCCTGTTAAAGCAAAGGTAAAATATCATAGATGGAAATCTGACTCATGAATAAAGTAGAATGAAGAGGGAAACGAGATCGCATTCTTCAGCATCTGAATAGATGGGAATTATTTGCCTGCTGCAGTGCAAACTGTTGATATTTGAAGGCTAGAGAATATTTCTTTTGGCACTGGTCATACATGTCTGCTTAGGGCTGGTCTAATTTACTTGGGATATCAATACTTACAATTATGTATATGCATATTTATAATATAAAAATAGATATATTTTGTCTCAAGAGTTTTAGTTTGACTTACTCCAATTTTTTATTTCAAGACTTCAGACTAGCAAAGATTACTTTTACTTTATTGAAGCCTGTGCAAACAGTATCTGCTTTTTTTATCACTGCCTCAAAGCAAAGCACAGTTGGGATGCCTGTGTATAATAGCATGATTTACAAGAAACAGAATTCTGTTCTAATATGCCAGCAGATACAGATTGTGCCAGATTCATCCATCACTAGGTAGATAAGTGGTCTCGTTGGAGCTCCTGGAGGACTGATGCTTGGGACAGGTCTGGGTTATCTTTGCCATTTTAATTTGAGATTTGAAACTTAATATTTATGGATATAGAAAAGCTTTACCTACTTACCATTTATCAAGCCTTACTCAAGCAGGGTAAAGGTTGACAAGTGACAGTAAGTAACCATGTTGCTTGTTTCTGTGCAGTACTTGTGACTATGGAGAGCACTGCTTTCCTGCTCACCTCCCCCTTATTGGTATTGAGGCAGACTGGGGGTGTTTGTGAACTTTCATGGTTTTAATAATAAAGCTGTATGTGCTGTTTAACACTTAACCCTTAGCTATATTGACAAGCTTTAAAAATATTTGAGAAGGATAAAGTAGAAACATATCAGACCAATAGTTCTCGTACTTGGGATCTGTTGTGACGCAAGATCGATGCTAGGAGTCGATTTGCTTCTCCATGAATGCCGGTGTGGTCGTTAGCACTGCACCACTGCACAAGTCTGTTGAGCAGCATGGAGTCTTGGCCCAAGATTTCAGCTGCATCAGCTGAAGAGAAAAGCGTCATCAGGAGACATTAAAAATTAGCCTTCTTGGTCTTTATGAGAGAAATATGGATGTAGAAGTAGCCAGGGCCACAGGCCTGAGCTCAGTATCCTTAAGACCTGTAAGTAAAGCACTGGGCTTTTAAGGGATCTTGGAAATCTTTACCTGAGGAATGGCAGTTGTGTTAGGGCAACTCCTGCATGTGAAGAACAAAGTAAGCTGTTCTGATAGACCTAGCCTTTTTAAGAGGCTCCTGAAGCAGGTCTTAAAATGAGCAGCTTTATATTTTTGAAAGCAAATAATCTGTTGCTATACTGAAATCTTCATAAAAACTGTCCTTTTCCTGTTTGGTTTCTTGCACTTGCTCTTTGAGCCCTGCACAAATGTAATCATGGGCTCTTTGGAGTCTGTTCTTGCTGTTTCAGTGCTCTCAGTACTGGTGATAATTACTGTTGGTAGCATGTGGGAAGCCAAGTCTTAGCACAGAATTGCAGTGTGTCTGTAATTGCATGTCTCAAGTCTTAAGAATGTGTGTTGAACTGTGTATTAGGCATCATCAAAACTTCCCCCAGAGACTGGAGGAGCCTTTTCATTTGCCTTCCCCTGTGTTTCAAGAACCCTATCTCAAGACTTGCTGGAAGTATTAATCTGGTGTGGTTGACATTTGGAAAAAACCTCACTAGATAACTTTTCGTAAGAAGTGGAACTCTAGTGTGATATGCTGTGGTTTAAGGCTTGTTGCCACTAAGGGAGACTACTCCCAAAGCTCTTAGAAGTTAAGCAGCAAAAGGAACTTTACTCATGCTCTCTCAATATTGCATCAGTCTAATACATGGTTCCACATGAGTCTTACTGCAGTTTAATAATGTATCTTTTAAGTGCTGTGGATCAAAAGTGACTAACTGGTGGAAAGTGATTTCCTAAGCAAAGGAAAAATGCAGATATAAGGGTGCTGAGGACTGAAATACTCTATTTTAACCAAATATGTTAAGTGGGGGCTCAGCCCTGAGAACATCCTGGTAAATACTGTTCTAGTAATTTCAGTTAGTTGATTCTGCTCAGTACTTAAGACTTTGAAATTCAACATCTTGGTTCAACTGGAATTTTCTTTGAAGTGAAGGATAGCAGGAGAAAGATAAGAAAGTAGTAATGTGCACAACTTAAGCTGCCTTTTTGTAGGATATGAGTGCTCACCCATTTGACTTTGAGCACAAAAGAGCTGTTTTGTAAAATGCCAAACCACTGTTTCCATGTGTTCCAGTTGATCATGAACTGAAGATATAAACACAGCACTTCTAACTGGGCACTAGATGTAGCAACTGAGAGGGAAGAGTAGTCACAGGACAGATGCTTACTTTTGGTGTAGGATTACTGGATTTGCAAAAAATATACTGTGGTTATCAGATGTAATTCAAATTTAGGAGTGTCATATAGTTATTTGTAATTAAGGGTTTTTCTTGTTGACTTCATTTTGGTCATCTTGAGTCCTGTCCTGTGCCCACCCCCCACCCCTGATGCTGGAGGAACAGAGCAGATGAGCATGAAATATGCATTGTGTGCTCTGAAGAGCACAGGAAAGATGTGGTAAAGGCCTTTGTGGGAAGTGTACATTGCCTAAGAAAGGCTCTAAAGGGTCTGTGAGCTTTTTCCAGTCTTCTGCTTTTCCAGTCTTTTAAAATAGTTCCAGGCCTGCAAGAAGGTAACCAGGGATCCTCTTGTTCCTTCGGAAGCAAATTCAGAAGGGGAAAAGTGTGGGGGGGAAAAAAGTCTATGTGATTTTAAGATACTGGGAAGTTTGTTGCTTGGAGCTTTGCTGAAGCAAAGACTTGAGGAAAAACCGACATTAACATCTGGAACAGAAGGGATAGGTTTGGCTGATGGGGCATAGCTCTGCTTCTGTTTCTTTACCTGTCCCTTTCTGTGTGTTGCTTTTTTTTTTTTTTTGAGATATTCTGGAAGAGGTCAAGTAGAGTGTGTACCAGAAGGTCAGTGTCAATAAACCATGTGGTTACTCTGGATATTTTGCAGAAACTGTAAGTCAACCTATACTCTTTCTGTTGTGGGGAGGGAGGTGAGAAAGGACAGACACTTCCTTTTTCTGTTTGTCCAGTACACTAAGGAACAATCCACAGATCAAAATCCCACAAGGAATCTGGGAGCTTCTAGCCTAGTTGAACGCGTTTGTTTTGAGATCAGACTTAGTTGTTGTTGCACAACCAGCTGCACATTACCTCCTGTAACAGAAAGGCTTTTGTTTCTAGGTCAGATGTTACATGTTAGTCTGAGGAGATCATGGTAATCCAGTTTAGTACAGAAAGCTGAAAGAGGTAAGAGGGTGGTGAATGGAACTAGTCTAAGAGGTTTGTTCAGAGGAGGTGTCTTGACCCCGTTTGACAGGGACTTCCTGATGTCTACCAGCAATAAAGCTCTTTGAGATAAAACCTAGTTAGTTATTCTTAACAGGAACAGGAGGACCTTTTAACTTACAAAATGCCAAATTTTAATAAATTGTATGCACAATTGAACTTTCAGTTGAGCTGAAAGTCCTTTGGCTGTTGAAGTGCACAAATTCTTCTGCTCCTCTGAAGCAAAACAGTGGAAGAACCAGGAGCTAATGTTAACATGTCTTTAGTGTAATGAAGCTGACAGATCTGGCTGCAGTTTTCTATAGTTAGAAAGTAACCTACCTCTTCTAGTCTGTAGGCCTCAGCAAGCCCAGCGATTGTCAGAGTAATGAATTTATACTAGATAATGCAATTAACTAATTTAGTGTGGACTGCTTAGTAGATGTGTATTCAGAAGAGTTTCAGGCTGAGTTAATTAAGGGCAATGTTAGCTCATGGGTAAACAGAATAGAAAGTAATTAAAGGTGGGAGAATTGTGTGCTCATAGGCAGGAATGGGTAAACATTGAATAATCTTCTACATCTTTTTTTTTCTACTCTACACTTTATCTGTATTGTTTCAGATTCAGAAGTTGTACCATTTTGTGCCAAATTCCGACTTCATAGTAGGGCTGGTAAATAGCATTGAGTAAAAAAAAAAAAAAAAGTGTTTGATAATTTAGATCTGTGTTGTTATGATGTTTCAATTCTAAAAGCTAAACAGTCTCCCCTGTCACAATTCAGATGTAACTTTGGAGAAATGACCTTTTAATGACTTCCTTCAAAGCCTGAGAGGAAGAGGCGGCTAATTTTCTGTATATCTTGCAATGTCCATTTCCTACCATGGTGAAATACAAGTGAAAGCAGGTTTTACTGGACTTGAATCAGTGCAAATTAATATGAGTGCTAGATCTAAGTTTTATATCATGCATATTCATTTGAAAAAGCATGTAAGTAGCTGCCATATCAAAGTGGTGTCTGCAGTGGTGTAAATGAGTGCAGCATGGAATGTAGGAGAGTGAAGATTTTTCCCCTTCCGTATAACTAATGAATTTGTGATTGTAAATTGTTCTGTACCAGCTGTCAGTTCCCATCACAAAATGGTCATAAATTTTTGATTCTGTTTTTTACTTATTTCTTGCTATTCGTGCATATCAAGGTGGTCTGTACTGACTAGTGTTTTAGAGCAGCTGCTTTGGTGATATGAAGGAATTAGACCACTTATTAAAAAAACCCAAACCACAGCAATTGTTTTTGTGTTATACTCTGGTAAGAAGCTAGATAAGTCTAATGATAAATTAAGATATTGTAGTAGATCTTAATGTAATTCTGACATTGCACGTTTCTCAAAATGCAACTATACACACAGAGTGAATATTGTTGCCTTTGCATACCCACCTCTGTAAAACTGAATGAAGTGCAAGTAGATAATCCTATATTTCAACATGCAAAGTCAATTCAACATTTGAGCCATGCCAGCAAGATAAATCTGGCAACATGTGTATATAGAGACTGCATGACTAGTAGAAAGTAATTTCTCCTGCCTCTCTCCACCCTAGCTCCCTTAGATCCTTTTATATTCTCCAGTCCTTCTGTTGCTTTGCTTTTGTGTGATTTGGCACTGTTAATCCTTAGGCTGACTCTTTTCCTTCATACTCATGTCTTGCTGGTATATCTCTGGTGGAAAACATTTTCCTTTTAGGCCTCTGCCATTTCTCACTGACTATTGCAGATTCTTCCATTTGATTTTTTTTTTCTCATCTACCTCTGAGGCTGACTGGGTCAGTATGGAAGGCTTGCAGCCTTCAGCAATTATCTCTGTTGGAACCTCTCCAGATCGAGTGGAATTAGGTTAGCAGGACACGTAGCCTGTAGTCTCCTTGCACATCCGTTGTCTTGCAGGAGGAGGGGAGGAGGGGGGTGTATAGTTGACATCAGTAAACCTTAGCAATTCCCTACCTTGACCATCTGCTAACATCCGTAGTGTTCCAAGAAGTTTAAACTGCACAGGAGGCATCTCTGACCTTAGAAGTGCCTGAATCCGTTCTGCCACACCTTCCTCCAGCACTTGAACCTTGTTAACAACTAGAAAATGGAAAAAAAAGATGTTGATGTAAAGCTCAGTAACTACACAAGCATCTGAAAATACAGATATGACATAACTGTTGTTCTGAATTTTATGCTCTGTTATGCTCTTAGCAAAAGGTCCAAACTGTTAGAGTGCTCAGAAATTAAGTCAGGACTACCCAACTGTTTAGGTTTCTCTTCTGAGCTGAAAACTTCCTAGGAATTGTTGTTATATGATATATTTTGGTTACTTTTGATCTCAGCCCTGCCCAGAGTGAAGTACATAAAAGAGGATAAAGACAGCATTGTTGTTTTTCTTCGTTTTTCTAGTTGTAATAGATTATCTGTCCACTTGCCCACTCACATGAGCAAGCCTTTCCTAAGCTTGCTTATCTTAGCTGAACTGGGTGGCAGAAGTGATTTACATAGCCATATTTCTTGAGAATGAATTTTCTTTTTGTATTTGAGCTTTCTGGTCCCCTGTTGTTCATGCCTTTGTTTCTGTGCTTTCCTCGCCTAATTCTTGCATCTTTGCTCTAGTCTTTAGTGCAGTAATCCCTGGCAATAATCAGAAGCTTGTCTGGAAGGAGTCCTAATGCTGCTTCCTCCAGAGCAATTTTCTACCCATCCTCTGCATGCCCTTTTTTTGAGGGGTGGCGGAATGACAGGACAGTGAAATTAGGGAGGTAACTGTTCTAACCCTTCCTCCTTCTATTGGGCAAATAGAGAAGCAGACACTGTTGAGTAACTTGCTCTTAAGGTCATTGTTTTTCAGTGGCACAGACTGACTCTGTTCACTAGAACATAATGACTTTTTTCAAATTTTTTTTTGTAAGCAGCTGTTCTCTTTAAAGATCACTACTGGAAGACTCCCCCTGTGCCCATTTGCAAGTGTGGCCCATATTTAATTTTTATTTTATGATTTATTTGGATTTGCACTCAGACTTTTTTTTCTTTTTCCTGGGTAGCAGACTATATTGTTGGAAGTGATAGAGTTTGTGCATTTCTGGAAGTAATGTATTATTGTGAGGGAATGTTGTACAGCTTCCATATTCTGATATTTTTACAAATTGATGAGGAAAAGCACAGTGTAGGAACAGCATTTCAAGTGCTGTGCATTGCCCCCACACTTGGAAAGAGCTAAAATTGTTTGTAATAGACTTAAACAGAACGGATAACCAAAAATAGACTCTGTATTGATACATTGCTATTTTATAGTTCAGAGCTGAGGCTTTTAAAGTACAGCTGCAAAGAACATTAAGATCTACTGGTATTATGTGTAGCAGGCAGTGACACAAGGGCAAAGTTGTAGGTTGTAACCACATTTTTCTGGAGTTTTAGATCCTATAATCTTTGCAAGATCAGCTGCGTTCATTGCTTTAAGGAACTCCCAAGGAATGCCTGGGCTTGGCATTGCAAAAAGTGTGCCTTGGTATTTGTTGAGGAACGGGTTGTGTTGTGAGTTAGAATGTGATCATCTCTGCTTGTTGTCAAGGGAAACTACATCAAAATTGCTGTCTTTCAAATGAGATTGGTATCTTGTAATCATTAAATCCTATTGTACATATTGCAGGAGTGAAGTCAATGAGAACTGAGCATGGGACACCCCTAGGCTTATGGAAGAAAATCCACCTTTTCATTCTAATAAAGATAGTTACATTTTTGCCTGCTAAATTACTCTCCTAATTTCATTTCAGCTGGATGGCTCACTTGATTTTATTTTTTTTTATGATTCTATTATTATCTTCTAATAGCTCTGTGTTAGGCTGTAACTGATGTAAGGTAGCTGGCATGCATGGTTGAAATACTGCATGCTCTATTAGCACCAAAAAGCAATTTGCACAGACCTCTGTCTGCTGATGTGAATGTTGGTTAGAAAATCTCTTCACAGAGAAATAAAATATACATAGAAATGGTGAGGGGCTTATGGTGTGAAATATGTTTATTAAAATACTGAGTAGACAGACATGGCTGGCTATTACGATCCAGAGAGTGTGCTAAAATTGTAAGCTGAACTAAATTACTTGAGAGGATATCAAAAATAAGTTGAAAGAAATAGGTGAAGTTCTGAACAGAGCTATCTGCAAGAAGAAATGAGGGTGTGTCAGGCTTTAAAAGGAAGTAGTGGAGGCAAAGTAGCAACTAGTATATTCTGGGGTGCTCACTTCTTCAAAGCAATGATTATGTATAAAACTGTTAAACCAAGCATGCTGGCTAGCTTACATAATAAAATTGGCAGACAACTTCAAGTTCTTTTATTGTCAGAAAATAGCGTTTGTGTCATGCTCTTTGGAGTACTGTATAGCAGCGTAAGGACTTTGTTGCAGGGTGTTGTACTCTTAAGTCTCTAGTAAAATGTTTTTGGCCTGAATTGCGCTTTCATGTGGAAGCTATAAATTTGAGATGAGAAGCAGCACAATTTTGTGATGTGCATTAACAAAAGATCACACGGGTAGAATCGTAGAATGGTTCAGGTTGGAAGGGACTTTTAAAGATCATCTAGTCCAACCCCCTGCAGTGAGCAAGGACATCTTCAACTGGATCAGGTTGCTCAGAGCCCTGTCCAGTCTGACCTTGAATGTTTCCAGGTATGGGGCATCTACCACCTCTCAGGACAACCTGTTCCGGTGTTTCACCCCCCTCATCATAAAAAAAAAAAAAAAAAAACCCAAAACAACTTCTTCCTTATCTCTAATCTAAATCTACCCTCTTTTAGTTTAAAACCATTACCCCTTGTCCTATTGCAACTGGCCATACTAAAAAGTCTGTCCCCATCTTTCTTACATGCCTCTTTTAAGTATTGTAGCTTTTAAGTGTGTTACAAAGGCCAAATTTGGAATGAATATTGGCTTTATAGGAGAGGAACAGATTTATGAAATCTGTACCAGCTGTGATGTGATAGCTGTACCCCACACTGTGTACTTTAAGCTGTAAACCCTGTTCTGCGTCTTTGTCTTGAACTGCTGTATGCTGTTAATATGAAACCATTTCAGCAGCTGGCAATGAGGTCACACTTTATTATATTTAGACCCTTTATGTAGATGAGAAGTCCTGATGAATTATTCAAATATATGTCTCTGCAGGGGGGAAAAAGGTCAATTGCCCCTGAGAAAACAAGGGGCTGGAATTGGTGACTCGGATGGAGCCGCACAGACCTCTATTAAATGACCCGTCTTCACAAAGAGTCACAGCAAGTCAATTGTCCTCAAACTCTGTACCTGGTATAGCAAGGTTTCGAAGTGCACTGAGTGCAGCATGTTGAACAGAGACGTCCCCACTCTCTACATGTTTCTCCAAAAGATCCAGAAGCTGATGTATGACTCCCAGCTGTACCATTCGTACACAGTTGCCATCTGAAGAAAGGTAAAACCAAGCAGGTGAGAAAGATAAGAAACACAATGGTAGAAATGAATCATGCAAATTGAGAATCCGGGGAGCCTGTGCCTTAACTCTTTTCATGTCCTGATAAGATTGAGACTGTAGCTTTTGCATGTTTTTTTTTTACAACCTTCAACTCTCCAGAGATAAATGTGTGTCAGCCACCTGTGAACCGATGCTGAGACACCCTCTAGTAAAGCTTTGCTTGAGGAGAGCTTTCTAGGGACGGTCATGGTCAAATTCAAAACCATATGTTCTCCAGTCAATTTCTTCCTCAATACTGCTTTATTTTCCACTATATATGTGGTGGAATACTGGTGGCATTTTCCATTTCTCCACAGGATAGCTTTAATACTCCAATTTTGCTCTTCTACTGGTTTAAGAGACTATTGTGAGACCAGGGATCTTATCCAGCAGTGGTGAGTCTGATTACTAGTTTTGTGCTGCTGTTACTCCTTGTATTGAATCAAATTATTTGTCATTAACTAAAGAATTAGGCCTAGTTTTTTCTTGCCTGTTTTGAGAAATCCACTTTCTGAAATGAGAAGTCTAATTGTGTTGCACTCATATGAAGCTAGGAAAATGAGTTGACCTAGAGAGTTCTGATCTGTTTAATGCTGGTGAAAGAACAGATCTGTAGATTCCAAAGAACTACCATTTTGCCGAGTACATGCTTTGCAATATTTTGTCAGTGCATGTCTGTATGTCTCCCTCTTTTTGAGAACTTGCTCTGCAGAGGCGACAGCCCTTTTGTTATCAGAATCTACTTAGCTAACCTTGATAGGAAATGAGAAAGTGTTCTCCTAAAGAGCAAAAGGATGCATATTATGGTCTGCATCCTTCCTGAAGGCAGAGTTTTGGAGATGCCATTTAGCAAATATTTTTCTGTATTTAATTTTATGCAGTTTATTATACCTCAAGAGAAGCATATTCCTGACACCAGTCAACATTTCCTTATTGCTGTGCTGTTACCATGTGAATGCTGTTTGTTAAAACACGGCAAAACAGTGTGAATGCTAGATAGGAAAACCACATCTTCACCTGGTGTAAACAATTACCTGTGGAACTATACAGACTTTATGCAAATAGGGAATCTGGCCAAAAGTAGCTTTAGGTGCTTCTTGTGGTAGTAACTGCATGCTTAAGATGTACAGACTTCTAATTTTTGTGTGTATACCACTTAAAAATGGCTCCAGTAATTTTAACACTTTTGCTGGTTTGAATGTTGTTTCTACCCCAAAGTAGTAGAAACTCTTCCGTGTTGTCTTTTGAACCAATGCCTACTATTCCTTTAATCTCTTAGCATTTCAGTTAGTAGCATATTTTTCCCCTGTATTACTACATATGTTAAATAAGAATTTGACAAATTCTTATTTAATATTAAGTGGATATTTTCATAAGAGAACTATCGGTCTGTGAAATAGTTTGAATTCTAGTCATGCAAAAATCTTTTGATATGAATTTATGCATACATTCTCTACAGCTGATGTTTTTGCTTGTGATTCTTCAAATGTTCTCTTGCCTGGTCCTAATTTTTGGAGATCAGAGTGTATGAGGACAGTTGCTCAGTCCTTTTTAGGAATAGGTTCTCTAGGAACAGACCATCTCTTTTAGTCTGACAAAATTCTACAGGCAAAATACTTTGATCTTCATATAGACTAACCTTAATTAAACTTAATTTCTCTCCTCCCCCCACGTTTCAAACCAAAGAATGGCAGAGCATTTTTTTTTTTCCTTTTGTAGTAAAGCGCGAGTAGGCTGAACCCATTAGTGGTTGCCTTGCTTTGATTGTCACAGAGCTCCAAACTAGCGTTCTCTCCTGTGGATTTTTGCTTGCGTAGCAGCAGAACCCTCAGTTTAATGGCTCATAGTTAAAGTCTGATAGGAACAGCCACTTTCATAGCTGCAAAAGCTGTCTGTCATCTTTTCACTGCCTCAGAAGTCATGTGATGCTGATCAGATTTCCACAGTTTTTTTTTTTTTCCCCTCTTAGATTACAGGCTGTGCATACATCAGTGGCACATACTGGGGCCTGAAAGATGTTTCATGTGGAAAAAGTGAATAATCCAATGGGCTTGTGGGGGAGATGGAGGGAGAAGAGCAAGTGACAAAGCAAACCATTCAGCTGAATAAACTGAGGATAGCCAGTTTAAAGGCACCAAGGGCATTTCTGTGGCCTTTGTAGAACAGTGATGCACAATGGCTGATTCAGAGCAAGGTATAAGACAAGGAAGAAAGGGAGTCTAGGGAGGATGTGGGGGTAGGTGGAGAGATGTGTGTATGATAGCTTGCTTTAACAAAAAAAAAAAAGACTGACTAGCTAAACATTCAGGCACATGTGAGGGAATCTTTTATGATAATTAAGCACATATTAATGCAGAAAGTTGAGCAATGTGGAAAAAAGCTCCTTTTTCTTAATTGAGTTTGAACACAGTACAGTAGCTATCGGTGAGAAAGGACAGAAAACATAGTGGGGTATCTTCTGCTGACTGATTCAGCACCGCATGCATTCCAGGAGTCTGTTTATAAGAGTGTCTCTGTGTTTCACTCTGCATAGCATTAAGACTCATTGCTTTCTATACTAGTAAAGTGTGAAAGATAAAATGGCTTATCTTGAGATTTATTTTCCCCCCTGATGTGTCTGAGTAACCCTCCCTTCCTAAAAGTGACTTAAAACCTAAAACATCAATAACTGTATGGGTTTTTTTAAATATTTCTAACAAATGTATTTGCCATGAAACATTTCCAGTCTCCCCTCTAATAATGTATGATTTAGGCAAAAAAAAAAAAGTGTGAAAGCTTGCATACCTGACCACCCCATTTTTCACAATTGTTTCCCTCAAACTACTTCAATATCATTAGCATCTGTAACTTAAAGGTGTGCAAGTCTCCAGTTTGCAGAAAAGCAAGAATGTTACTGTTTCGGAGCCAGGGAGCAATGAAATCCTATAGTGTTGCTTTTCTCTCCGCTTAGTGGCTTTCCATCTTTGAAGGGTAGAGAATAACCAACCTTACAGTTTTTTCTAAAATTAGCAACAGCCGTTTCTTCTGTCTCTGTATCTGTAAGTGTTTGGATGTGGTGCAAGTACCAGCATTCTGGGAGATGATGCCACATGCCTTAGCAAAAAAACCTTCTGCATGTATTTACCTGTGGCATGATAAATAGAACATAATTATAGAATCATAGATCGTACATACATAGAATCAACCTCACATATCTGTTCATAATTAGCCCCAAAGTGAACTGTTTTATTGGTCTTTGGGGAGGTTCAAATCAGTGATGACTTAGATTGTTGTTATAGTTAATAATTTAAGACCTTTAAATTGTTGGTTGCTTTGGGATTGGGTGTGGTGGGATGCAGTATAAGTGTCCAGTTCTTGATGTTTTATTAATCTGTATTGCCCAAAATACAACATAGCAGGGCCACCTAAACTAAGTTGCTGTTAGGTCTTTAGCCTTTTTCTGGTGTTCCTGAAATCAGCTTAAAGACTTAGTTAAACCTCTAGGTCAGCAATGTGTGTAGATAGATGGCGGAACTTATATTAGAAGAAAGTTCTTAGATTTCATTTCTTAATCCAAATGTTCAAAGTATGTACACAGATATGGAATAGCGAATGAGGAAACATGAGTAGTTCAATACCACATGAACTTAATCTGATGATTAGCTTTAAATTTAAAACTGGCTTAGGCCAGCTTTGAAAGTAAAGTTATAGCAGGGTGTGAACTGATGACCACAGGTACAGCTACAGTGGCCTGAAGTTCTTGTGCTTGCATTTGTGTTCTGTGCAGGAGCAGTCACAATGGCATTAGATGACTTGAGGCAACGTGTATATGCTGGAAGGGAAGCATGGCAATGTGAACACTAGGCTCCTGTAAAAAGTGAAAAAGTGTGGTGTCTGAGAATTCCCCTAAGGATTATGAAACAGGTTGCAGATGTGTCCCTGTTAAGGAAATGAAAGCAACAGAGCAGATGGTAACTCCTCTGCTAAGGGAACTTTTTGATGTTGTTTCTTTATGTATCTGGACTGTCAGTATTCCATTTTTTACCTCCAAGCAGCAGAGAGACAATGAGATCTGATGCAGCCTTCACAATGCATGTATCTTCAGCTTGTGAACTACCCTGGAGCCTCAGCAGGATCTCAGACAGCACCTCTTGCACGCCTGCCTCCACCAACTGCGCTTTGAGAGCATCTGTGGAGATCACAGTAAAAGCACACTAAAAGCTTCTTGGGTCTTTGAAGTGTTTCAAACTAGGAAGCTAAATCCATGAAATTTAGCCACTCTTTTTTCAGGTGCAGTTACTTTTTTGGTTTTGTTCATGACAGGCATTCTGGTGCCAGGATGACAACAAGGCAGAATGAGCAAAGCATCTGCATTGATCTTTGACACTTCTTGTATTGCCAGTCATGAGTTTTTCTTTAAAATCTGTACCAGGTATCTAGATATTTTTAGTGGATTCTTGTCAGTGCTTGTTACACGACTGCTTAGAGTAGACATGTTCTATGATATTTGATTGTCTCTTTTTTTTTAAAAAAAAAAAAAAATCCATCTAATCTGCTTTCCTGTTACACACCATGGAGAATATGAGTTTGAATCTGCTATCTTATGGATCCACCGAAACAGTGGAATGCTACTCTGTCCCTCCTTTCATTGTTGCCTTACCTATTAAGCTTCAAAGTCTTGCTCAGGCCAGGATTTCGTATGTTCTTATGGCTTATTTCCACTGAAGGGATTGCTGGTTTCATTAGTAGGATCCCATGGCAAACTCAGAACCCAGAGCTTAAGCTAAGTACCAGTACCCTGTCTCCCCTCATTCCCTCAAGCTGAAAGGAGCCTTACCATTTTCTGCAAGTGCTTGCAGGACCTCAAAGACCATTTCTAACCTCTCATGGTTCTCTGCTCTTCTCAGTTGTTTCACCAGCTGTTCAGCAACCTTTGTCTTGCTTAGCGCTTCCTTGGCTGTGTCTGTGTATATGATAAAACAACATTCAAAATCCTGACTTTATCTGATTAAATGTTAAAAGCCTATTTCACTGTAATCTGAAGTGATTAGACACTACTTTCTTTTTGAATGCTTTTTCTGTTTTTATAGATACTTCTGTCCCTTCAGACAGCATTGAGACAGCAAAACTCTACTCTATCCCTTCTCCCCCCCTACTTCTTTCTTTAACACTATTTTTGTGTAATTCCTCTAGCTATGACCTTATAATAGCTGCCAAACTAATCCTGGCTTAATTCCACTGACTCTTACAAATCCATCTGTAGTATGATTATTTAATATATCAAATTGGCACGTGCCAGTTTGCTGTAGTAGTGTATTTTCTGTCTTGATTAGATGGTTCCAGTCTTGCTGGGATCCTAAACATCTAAAAGATATATGTTAACAAAGATTGATTTTTTTTTTAAAGCTTGCTGCTGTCTGACATATACCATATTCTATTCAAATGTGTTCTTAAGTAATATCTATAAAGGACAGACCTCAGTAGAGGATGATGTGACAGTGTGATACCATACCCCCTTCCCTGCTTCTCCCCCTAAATACACGAAGCAGTAGATGAATTTGTAGTCAGACCATATACAAAATGTGGCAATATTTTTCTACTTGTAAGTAGTGATGGAAGAAAAAGACCAAGTTGTGTAAAGTAGGGCAGATGTATTTTAAATCAGTGGAGATGCCTTTGGTTTGAAAATTGTGTAAATGAAAAGGGAAGCTGTTTCATTAAGGTATATAAACTTAATAATTTAAATAGAAATAAATTTTTAATAAATGAGTATTTAATGTACCATATCTGAAGTAGTTAAAACTGTCAATTTACCACATGAAGCTATGCCCTCTATACTTTTTTTTCTGGGTCAAGAGCTGTCTGTTAAATCTTAATTATTTTAATATACCAGCAGTTGCTGGTACTCCAGGAAAGAGTAGTTACTTCTCCAATACAGATACTGTGGCCAGTCCCTGGTTAGGTATCAGTAGTATTTAAAAACCCAAACTAACCAAACAAAACCAAAAAACCTAACCCCCCAAATAACTCAATACCCCCCCTCCCCCCCAAAAAAAACCAAACCCAAAAAACCCCAAAACCACAAATTTGTGGGCATTCTGCACGTACATGGAAAGACAGTGGCAGTGTGAAGATGATATTTTGCTTCAACATACAAAAGCATTTACTTACCAAGGTCTGCAAGATTGCATAAGGCCAATAGATCAACATGGACAAGTGGTTCACTCTCTGCATAATCAGTTAATATTCGGACTAGTGATGTGATTACTCCTACCTTCACCAGCTCTTCCTGAAGATCTCCTGGTAATAGTAAGCATAGAAGTTAAAGGTGATTAAATAGGGACCAATTAAATCAGTAAGAAGGGTCCAACTGAGATGCTTTGCAGCGAGATAATCTGGTTCTTTTCACACTTAGAATTTGTACAGCTTTTTTGCTGTGGATTCAGGCTAATGTGTGTGTTTGGGAAATGCAGGTTCAGGACAGTTTTGCAAAACTTCCTGGTTCTATTTTGACTTGAGGAATTAAGCCACTATAAAAATATATAAGGGCAATTGCATGAGCTTCTCTACTACTAGTGCAGCTTCTAAAGTGAGTTCTGATGGACTATATCTCTTGGTATGTCTCTGGAAATTAAATGAGAAACAGACAGTTGGCTTATTTGTCTCAGGGAATGGGAATCTCAGCCTTATTATCCTATGGCTTCTTTTGTTCTGAAGGGCAGGGAAATGGAAGGGACTGGAAACCCAAGATAAGGCATAGTCTGGTGACGACTCTGCTTTCAGGGATCAACAGTGTTCTGACTCATATAGCAAATGTCCATATACCTGCTTTTTGCATGTTAGAATAATGATTTTTTTTGATTCTTAAAAATAATTCTTTGTAAATCAAGACACTGTATCAATACCTGGGCTATTATGAAAGACAGACTGCTTTAAAGTTCATCTAGGGGAATCATCCTCTTCCAGTTTTTTGAGTGTTAGTTGCTCAGCATGTAGTGAGTCTTGGAGTGCTTGAATTCAAGATATCTTTGGAATTTTTATAGGCTGAGAAGGTTCTCAAGCAGGTGTAAATTCATGTGACTTAAGGGGAGTCAACAAAGTACAGTAAGTCAAAATTAATTTGGTCCTGGTTCTGGTGTACTAACTACAGTTGTCACTATCCACATGCAGAATTGCTAATGAAAACACTGATAACTGTTTGCTTTCTTTTTGTAGTTTGTCTTGTAATGAATAAAAGCTTAATATCTAAAATGATTTTGAGAATGCCAAGAACTATGAAATGCAAATGATAATTGCTTAACAGTACAATGACACTCCTTTTGCAGCAGTGTCTTGTTGAGAGCTAGACTGCAACTTGGATGACAGCATGTATGACAGACACCAGAAAGTGTCTGGGTGCTCTTGTAGCATATGCAATTGTAATTCAATCAGGGAATCACTGAAGTTATTTTTTTCTATGATGTATTTATTGCTGTGTTAGAAATTATTAAAGCATGTATCTTATAGTCACTGTCATCTCATCATATCTATGCTGGGCCTGTGTTTTGACAGAAGTGAAGCAGATTTGCAGTATGACCGTATGCTGTAGTAATGCTGGTGTACAGTAGTTGCATAAGCCTTGCATGTAATCATATGGGGAAGTTTTTTTTTTTTAACTATTATGTGGCATTTCTTGGCAAATACATCTAATTTGCAGGGGGGTAGTGGAATCTATACCAGGTACCTGTCATTCTTGGATTTCATAGGAACAGTGCAGGGAGGCAAACCCATAGCTTTCTAGATCAAGCTACACAGGTCCCCACTGGAAAGATAAGAGAAGGTAGGCTGAAGGCAGAGGGAAAAGGATAGAAGATACTGGGTGAAAAGTTCCATGTTACCTCCAGTATGCAAAAAATATTTTTGGTCAGTCTGGGAATTAAAGGTAAAAGAAAAATCTTAAACTGTTGGGGCAAGTAAGGGAAAAGGGTCTAATTTGTGAGACCAGCAGGCAAGCTAGTGTGCTGGCTTTATGGAAAAACCTGGAGCACAAAGATCTCCTATATGCAAGGAATGGTCCTCGGACAAGGCCATTCCTTGCATAAATAGATATCTCAGTACTTTTTTTATTTTTTAGAGTATGTTTTTTCTGATACACTTTTTAAATCAGTGCTTTGCTTTATAGGCACTGTTACTACTTTGGAAGAAGACAAAGCCATTCAGCATTTAGGCCCAGGGCAGTTCTACAAAATTTAAGATATGTATGAGGCTCTGCTACTCTTGTAGTTGCAGAGCAGTTCTGACAAAGATGTGTCACCTTGAAGTCAAAAATATAGGGGGAAACCCAAAGTTTAGGAGGTGTTTGGGATGCATTCAGCCTGGTGTCTGTGAGCTGTGTGAATTTATCTCTAAGTGGAGGCTGAAGTGCATTGTGTGCTCAGGTCTCATAAAAAAAGTTATTATGAGTTACAGGTTATAGTGCCTTATAAAATAATGCCTTATAGCTAGGGAAAATAGGATTCTCTCAAGTTGATACTTACGATTATCATAACAGATACGGCCAATAGCCCTCCCAGCGTGAAGCAACATTTCTTGGTCTGTGCTCTCCAGCAAAGGTATCAAAGTTAAAACCAAATCTGCTTCAATACATGGTTTCTTCATTTCCTCTGTGTAGGTAAAGGAGAGGGACCTGTGGGTTTTTGCCATGTTGAAATAAAACAATTGCAACTGCAAGGCCAATAGCTGGTAGCCATGAAACAAAACTAAGGAGTGGAAACATACAGCTAATGTGCTGTAATATGCCTTGTAGTAACACTGTAGTACAACATACCATTCTTGGCTATCTCTGAAAGCACCTGGGCTGCTTTCACTGCACATCGTGGATTGCCCTTCAGGATTTTTGCCAAAGTTAAGAAGATCCCACTCTCTCTGAGTAGGCTGAAGGATCTCTGCTCTGTAATGATAAGAGTGTTAACAATACGTGCAGTAGGTTTGCAACTGTTTATTTACATGTTGCTTTATTTCCTAGAGTTCTGAGTGGGTATCTGTGGGATCCAAGGTTCCGATTTAACAGGGTACTTAAAGGCTGTCTCAGTCTAAATATATAGGAACAGTCATCTGCTTGAATTGTAGCGAGTGTCGTTCCAGCTGATTATTCTGCTTCATGCTGAATTGAAGCACAGGTGGCAAAGTAAAGAAAGACATTTAATCTTCTCTGACTATAAAAGGATGCTTGCGTAAGGCCTGGGAAGTCAGGGATTGAGATTGTATTTCTGAGGTATGGCCTAGCAATTAATTTTGTACATAGGCACATCATCTTTTATTAGACTAGCAATTAGAACAGTCAATTCCCTTAGCCTTTTTTTGTCAAAAATATGGCTAATGGTCCTTAAGGTAGTAAGTCACCATCTGCCAGGAGATTCAAATAAATGCAGGTTTATGTCATTTCAGGAGAATGTGGAGAGACCCTAAAGACTTTCTTAAAAGGAGACTAGGAACTACTTTTTAAATTCCTGACCTGATAGGGGCACCCCAATTTAATCCTAGGAGTTGGTTTTGTAGTAAATAGAATATTAAATTTGGAATTTCTCTGCAGCTTCAGGTGTTTTAGTGATCAGTAGCTTTGTCTGATCACAGGTAGATTTGTGAGTGTACAAAGAGAAAGGAAAACAACAAAACAGGCTGAGGACAGCTATAGTTCCAGCAGCAATTACTTCTTGTAATACAGGTTGTCAGAAAAGACGAAAACCTCCAGTGAATGCTTTTGGATTATGCAAGCAATTAAATGGTGATCTGGAGTGATACTTAGCTATCTTCAGTAAGAGCCAGGAGAATCCCATTCAGACTTTCAAGGATCTGATCTTCAGCTTCTGTGTCATCTCCACAGAGTCCAAGGTACTCCAGGTGCTGACTCAGGGTTTCTAAATGGAATGGGATGGAAAACTGTGGTGAGCCAGTATGGAAAATATTTTGAGTTCTTTCTGGTATTTCTTTTCAGTGACAATGGCTGACCGTAAGATCATCTCCTGAAGGGTCCAGATCTAAACATGCTCATTAAATAACTCAATCCAAGAGCATGAGGCTTGGTCCACTTCTCAGTACACACTCTTGTGCAGGCATAAATATGCAGACATAAATTCTATCTGGAAAAAGAAATTAACATATAACAACTGTGGCAGAGTTTGAGGTAGGGAGGAGAGAACAATAATTAGAGAATGCAAATCAAGCCTGTCACTTCTAAATACCCCTTTATTGTAAGGATAGTACTTGCAGCTCAACTAGCTGTGTATCAACTCTGATAGTGGCCAGTAGTAGGCACTGAAAGAATGCAAAAATGAAACAGAGATAGTTACATACTTCTCTCTTACTTTCTGGCAACCTTGGCCTTTAGAAACATACCTAGTATTTACATAGATGTATTTAATACATCCTGATGGACTTTTATTCCATGAATTTGTTTAATTACCTATTTAAAATAAGTCATACTTTTTATCTCCACAGCACACTGTGAAATTAAGTTCCACAGTTTCACTGTTGTTAAGAGAAAGATACTTCCCTTCGTTTCAAAATATCTACTAAAAAGCTCAAAGCTAATGGCCTCTGAGTTTCTGAATGATCCTTCACTACTTGCTTTTCCCATGCTTGTCATGATTAGATAGATTTTTATGTCCCTCCTTTGTAATTCTTCTGGCAGTTCATCTAATATTTCCGCTACAGAAGCTCTGATAACTTGCCTTGGTCTTCTTCCAGTTCACTTTTATTCTTTTTTTTAAGTGAGGAGCTAGAATTTGAAAGTGTTTTCAAGATATAGGTGGACTGGGATTAAGATAAAGATTGTAAAGTTTTGTTTTCTACTCTTTTAATCCTTTATCTATTTGAGAATGTGTTTTGTGCAGCTATTCAAAATGATTCTATCTCTTCTGGGCAGAGGGAGTTAATTTAGACCCCACCATTATTCATAATTAGGCCATCTTTTCCCCATGTATGTTGTTCTGCGTTTACAGACACTGAACTTGATGTGCCTCTTTATCCCAGGTCGTACAGGATGATATTTTTCTGTAACTCTCTATAGTTGGTTTTTATTTTGAGTACTGCAAATAATCCGAAACCTCTACCATTCTGCTACTTCTGGATCGTTTCTGAATATATTGAATGACACAGGTTCCAGCAAAGGTAATCTCTAATAACTGTGGCTCTCTAGTGTGAAAGCAGTCTTTATTCTGCCCTTCAGACTTCATCAGATAACCTTCTGTCATATCCCAAGATAGCTCAGATGATAAACCTTATTGAAAGGTTTGTAGAAGCTGAAATACATTGTTAACAGTTATCCCCTTTATTCACCTTCTTGCCAGCTCCTTATATTTAAAGAGAGGCTGAACTTTACTTGCTTCCACAGAAGCCTCATAGACTCTCTCCTTTTTTTTATCATATCTGTGTTTAGTAATTCTGTGCTTTACTATAATCCTACAATTTACCTATGCAGAGATCAGATTTCTGTGCTCTGATTTCCTGCATTCTTTGCAACTGTTTTGGTAAACTCATGCCACTCTTGCTGCTTTCCACCCTATGAATCCTGTAGTTGATTTAAATGGCATTCTGCATGTCACAGTTAATGATCTGATGATTCATTTTTTTAAATTCCTTATAAACTCTGGGGAATAACATCCAGTCCTAACAATTGGTTACCATGTATTTTATTGATTTGTTCTAAATCAATCTTCTGCCCTTTCAATCTGAAGGTTCTCCCCTCTACTTCCTGAAAACAGAAAGACCTAAAGTAGTTGAAATGAATGTAGAATAATGCTGGAAAACTGATGGCTGAAGTAGTTAACTTACAGTAGAATATAATGTATGCTGTTACCAAAACTGTAGTAAAATAGCATTTCTACTTCACAAACTGTTTCATTGAAAAAGATGAGTCATGAGTCTTGGCCTAGAAATTCTTCAGCTGAGGATTAATAATTCATCATTTATTTTTGTTGCTTGATGGATTCACTATTTTCTCTTTCCTTAATGTGTCCATTAGTTAATGAGTTGTTCTATTTTTTTTTTTTTTTTTTTTTTAAATTAGAATGCATGAATTTAGTGCATACAGCAATTTACTTCAGAGGAACCAGAAGTGTCTTGAGCTCTTTTGATGAAAAGATGAATTAAAGGGAGGGGAAGTAGAACATCATTGAAGGCTGTTACTGTCCTTTGAGAAGAAAAATTCTTTGGCTTAAAAAATTAAAAGCAGTTATTTAAGAACAATGACAATGTTGGTTTTGTGCTTTAAACAAGATGCCATCTTTAGAGAAATGGCTGGATTCATCAGGTTAAAAATTTATATGGGTAAACTTCAATATTTTTTGTATTCTGAGTAAGAAACTGAGGCTTGTATGTATTGATGTCTCTTGGAAAGCCTTTGTAGTTGAAAGTAACTATGTGTTTGTCTTTTCATGGCCTCTTTGAAATCATGTGCTAAGGGCAACACAGGCATAAAATTGATAGGAGATCAATGTTTTTTAAAAAAATAGATGACTTTAGATTTGTTGCCTTTTCTATTAATGAAAACAGGCTGAAGACTCCTCGAATAGACAGACGTACAACAAGGGTGATTTCTTTTGACCTGCTTTAAAAAGTTAACATTAATCACTGGTTTCCATTTCTGTCCAGTTCTCCTGCCACAATTTGCTGACAAGTGATTCTGTATGAATGAAGTATATGTAGAATGCAATTTCTTACAAAAAAAAAAAATTACCTGAGCAACCTGACAGTTGGATCAGCTTTGATCTTAAACTAATCTAGTGGGAGTGGGCAGAAGGCTAGAACTGCTGACAGAGCAACATGAAATAAATTAGGAGCCTGTGAGAATGAATTATCTACTGAACTCCATCCTTATCAAGATCCAGAATGTGTTGGCATAAGGTAATGCATTTAACTTCTAGTACTCTATCGTCTAATTAGGGCAGTAGTGATATTTGCAACTACATTTCTAATACAGTTAGGATATATAGAAAGATGAAAAGGCGACCGAATCTCTTAAGTTGGAGGAAGTTGTTTTACAAATAGCAGGGAACAGTCTACATTACTGGTCACTCATTAGGTTGGTATAGTGGTAATTAGAAATCCAGGTACTTAGTTATTTCTCCAGGGAATAGATCAGTAGAATAACACCATATGCATGATGACAAAGTCCTTGAAAAATATCCTTCTGGTTACAGTCTGTAGTTTTGTGAAATTAGTGCAGCAGAATTGACCAAGTAGCTGACTAAAGAGCTATTTTAGAAAAGTCTTGCAGAAGGCAGTATTTAACTGTAACAGCCTTAAAGCACTGAAAGCTTTTCTCAGATACTCAGAATTTTATTCTGTTGTATGTTGTTTATAAAAACTTGATTAATTTAGTCAACATGGGACTGATTACTTAATACTCATTGTCTTTAAGTCCATGCTTCTGAAGTGGAATTGAAGCAGACACTGTAAGACACAGTTATTTCTGTGGAGAAGCAATAATAACAGCATACATACAAACTGTGACTAAAATGAAAAGGCCAGAAAAGGGTGTGTGTTTTTTGTGGAAAATTCTGGGTTGTTTCATCCCATGCTGGAACAGAATGTCGACATGGTGAAACTTCAGGCAAAACAGAACAATTTGTTTCATTTTTTTTGCAAATGTGGTCCTTCCCCAGCCAGGGGCTGCCTGGTGTGCTGGCCTGTGGCCTGAGTGGCCAGTAGGCAAGCTGGAAAGAAGCCAGCCAGGCTAGCCAACTGGTTGGGCAGTGGGGAATGTCTGCCTGCCTGGCTTCTGAGGCGGGTTTTAGCAGAATAAGCATGTTCTCAAGGAATATTTTTCGTTCTCTTGAATCAGCATTTTTAGCAGAATATTTTTGATCAGCTTTAGTAATTCACTGTAGAAGCAGGGGACATGGACTTGGGCTCTGGTCTGGAAAGCTCTAATTTTATTTTCTTACTGATCACCTGCAGGATCTGAATTTAAAATCTCTGCAGATTCAGGTACAAAAGGCTTTTTTCCTGAGCTGAAGGGCTAAATTATTAATTCATGCATAAATCTGTGCATAAGCTACTGAGTAGAGGCATAGGAAGGAGACTTTTGCTGTGGGAGTTGGTTTTTGATCATCCTAATGAGAGCAGAAACAATAATGCAGAAAACATGCTGCACCATGGAGCTTTCATCTGGCTTCTGCAGTGGGGAAAGAGCTATGAGGTGTGAGCTCTTCGGATCCCTTAGACCATTGCTGTGTCAATTCCCAGTGCAAGTTTTGACCTATAAAGTCCTCAGGGAGTGAGAAAGAAGGAATCCCACACATCTCTACATTTTTTCAGTGACTGATTATGCACCCCGCCTAAAATGGCAATGCCTTATCTGATTTTTTCCTCATTTTATAGCCTTTCACATGTTTAGGAACTATTTTCTGTATTTTTCTAGAGGAAATATAGACCCTATCTTGCAATACCAAATGCTACATTTGGTATCATTTTTTACTGTTCGGATTCTGAGCTGTGTGAAGTCAGTATGATCCAATTTGTTTGAGGGCTTGAAGCAACTTATTCAAGTAGCATGCCTAACCTTGTGTGTCTACTGCTGCCTCTTCCTTCAGTAATTTCACATACTAAACTTATTCTTCTGCCACTTACCCTTAGTATATACTGTAGAAGGTTCTTCCATGGACTTCAATTATTATTATTCAAAGCTGGAAAACAAGTTAATGTGTTTTTCCAGAACATAAAGATGTGGTAATTGTTTACAATAGAGGTCCATTTAGCTCAGTGTAGTGTCTCTGGTAATGGATGATTAAAGAACAGTAAAAGACGACAGTACGTATTCTTTCCCTGGTGTACTTTCTCAATTTTTAGTAATCAACTCCTTAGGGATTTTCTTTGCGGGAAGTTTCATCTTGTTTAATTGCACTTAAATTCATGAAAGTATGTATTTTGAACTTGGTTGTAATTTACCTTCCAGAACATAGACTGGTGATAAGTTCCACAAAGTAATTTTGGATTGAGAGAGAAAATAACTCATTCTTGTTTTCTTTTGTTGAAATCATTATCTGGCTTTCTCTTGGCTCTGATTTTCTGAAAATGTTCTATATCACCAGGGCAGGGAACACAAGTCTCTATTAAATGCATCCTGTGTAACAGCTGAGAGATAAGATCCAGGTTGATAAACTGTTAGAGTTCTGCAGGTCAAGAAGTGTCTGGAAGGCATAAGAAGAGTCCTGAAGGAACTAAATTTTCAAGTCATAATATGGGAAAATAGCTGTTGGGTTAGTCTAGCAATTTAATAATAAAAAAACCGAAAAGCTGACCTGCATTCTTATTTGTGTGGCTGCCTGCAAAATCATGTAGTTGTAAACCTCCATTTTCTCACAGTGTGTTTTAATGCTTTTCCCTGAAATAACAAAAATAATTTGTCCATGGCATCTCCCATATAAACCTGTGGTAACAAATGTGCCTGCATGTGCTGAGGAGAAGAATTAGTAATAGTAGAAGTAAGGCTCCAAGTCTCCTTGTCTAGGAATGTGATATTATATTTACTTCATAATGAAACATAAAAAAAGGTGTAAATTGGAAATGGAGAAATCTAGAGGGGCTGGTAAGTGTATGTGTGTTAAGAGCAAATAAAGCCTATAAGGTCAAATACTCACATTCCTGC